GAAGATAAAATTCGGCGAGATACGCATGCGCGAGGAGCAATTTAGCCAATAGAATGCGTTGGAATTGATAATTTAGTCGTGCTGGCCTGACGAGAGCTAGCCCGCGTGCAGGCCCAAGGGAGCAGGCTCAAGGGAACTTGATAGTGGGCCTGCAAGCAAGGCCCGGTATTTTGTAAAACGCCCCTTTTCATAACACGCCCCATTCGCGCGTCAATTGTCAAAAAAGAACCAATGACAGCACCCAAATATTAACAAACAAACTCGCATTAAAATGTTGCGGGTTTTTCTCTGCTTATTCAGAACATAAACAATGTGTAAATGGCTGCGTTTTAACTCCAAAAAAGCAAGCAACGCAGTCAGTAATTGCCAAATTTGCAAGTGCTCATTTTCAACTAAAATCGGAACAGGCAAATTAGGACGAATTTCAACAGAAAACCAGTCTCAAACTTCAAATCGTGAGGGAAGTCGTGCGACCACATTAGCATTTATAATGTGTGTTTCGCTGTCGCCGTTGGCATTGTTATAAAAAAATTGTCTCACTTATCAGATCGTGTGTGCAATTCTTGTTGGCGGCGGAAAGTACGAAATTTATTTGAGTTATTTCATTTGGTAAAGAACTCTACAAAAGAAGAGAGCGTTCAGAGTCCAGATCGTTTCGTTTCAAACGGCAATTTAAATATACCGTCTTCTGTTTCGTTCTCTCAGCGAAGCCTTGTAAATCGCAAAGTGTTTCTAATAGGCTTACATGCAACTGCATCTCAACATCAACCAAAAGATAATTTTCTTGAGGAACATATAACGTATCAAGTCTGTTTGAAATTAATGAAACTCAAGTAAAGGTTACTATAGTTTACCCCAGTCGTAATGTTGCTATTCCAACAACTTACGACAAGCAATCCCCATTGGCATAACGACAAAAACATCTCTTCCTTCTAGTAAACAATAAACAGTATGTTCTTGTTCCATTTATAATCGAAAAAAGTGATCAACTTTCGAATTTTGAGCTTATCGAGAGCCTTTGTGATGAATCACTGACCTAATTATAGAATCCAACAGCAAACAGCCAATCAAAATGCCGCGTTCGTGGGCGAACGCGGAAAGTACAAAATACCGGGCCTTGCTTGCAGGCCCACTATCAAGTTCCCTTGAGCCTGCTCCCTTGGGCCTGCACGCGGGCTAGACGAGAGCACGATTAACGGGCGGATTACCCATTAGTCGTGCTATTAACCTGCGGTCGGGTGAAACTACGCAATCATACCTTGAATTGGTTTAAAACCATGGCAAAATCACCGGATTTGAAGGGATTTCGCACTTAATAGATGACGCAAGTGTACGACGAATCATTTTTAAAATTTTGGGGGAATTTTTTTAAGACTAAAAAATTCTTTTCTTTGAAAAAATTTTACTCGTGCTCAGCACGACTAGCACGACCTCTAGCTTCGCCACTGGTGTGTGTTGAGATATATTTGTGCATTTGAAACATATTTGGGTGTTGCACTTGTGGGTCGCCGTAGTTTTATACCATTTATGAACCTATAGAATGCTAATAAAAGATTAGTGCTATTGTATTAGGCAAATGGGAACCATAGCCTACAATAAATGTTTTAGTTTTATTACATAATTTTGAAACCATTCTTGAGGCCACCTAATCGCTTTTTGATTAAGTTTTGATAAAAAATACTCGTTATAAATACGTTAATTGATAGTTCTATTGAACAAACCAAAAAGAACGAACACGGAAAATTTGTTGCCCGAATTTAGGGAAGCCTCACATATCGATTTTTTCCACGAGAAACGTCATATGTTCGTTTGGGGGTGGGG